GTTAAATAAACAAAACTTCAAAGTCCAAAAAATTAAATAAAAAAAAAACCTTGGAGGACAAAAGAAGAAGTGGTAGGCAAAAATATCTATGGCAGATGTCAAGAAGCCGTTCTTAAGGAAGGGAAAGAGGGAGAAAAGGCTGAGGTATGCTGAATTACGCTGAAAATTAGTGGAAACAGGTTTGATGAATGTAGATATTAAACTTTCAACATATTTTGGATCAATTTATCGTTGATATGTACGAAGGAGATCACAAGAAGTGCAGCAGTGAGTGTCTACAGCCATCTGTAAAACACAGTGGAGGCACTGTCATAGTTTGAGCCGGCAATGTTGGAGATTTTGTCAAAACTGATGAAATCATAAATGCAGAAAAGTACCATCAAATTTTGATCGAGCATTCAAAACCATCTGGGAAGTGTCTGATTGGAAACGGCTTCATTTTTCAGCCAATGCAATAAAACCATACCACACAGTGGAAACACACAGTGGACACTGTCAGTCATCGATTGGCCTCCCCAGAGTCCGGTCCTCAACATTATGGAAGTTTGCACATTTCAATAAATCACTGCACCTGTTTCCTATTCTCCCAGCAAAATATGCAGAAATGAGGGGTGGCTCCAGACGTTTGCACTGTACTCTATGGTTATATTATATGTTGCTGTGTTTCTGGTTTCTTCTTGCTGCTGGGTAGAGCAGATTTAATGAGGAGGACATATGTAAGCATGTAGACACATGCAGACACCCAGTTCCCCCGACATGGATTAAGAGTATTGCTGAATTTGAAGACAAATTAAAAGTACTTTTAGTCTTTAATCTTTAAAGTGGAGTGTGGTGTAATATCCAACGACTAAATCAAACCAACTAAAACTGAAATCTCTGATAAGATTTTTTTTCACTTTTCAGTCATCGGTTTGCTGTCTTTACTGCAGCTGAGCGCATTTGTCAGCCCCACTCATTTACACACAGTATGAAGGTGTTCGTCCCATGTTTTTGTTACACTATGGCTCAAGAAGCTTTAATGGCATCGTTTACAGTCACTTAAGTGACAAATAAGAAACAAGCCTACATGTTTGACTGCAGATGTTAGTCACTCAGAGTAAGTCATTAGTGTTACAGTGAAGAGCGCCACTAAAAGCAGTGAGATGCACCTCACCGTGTGTTTTACTAAGTATAATTTTTGTGTTGCTTAATTAATCCCCCCAGGGACGGAATAAAACACCCAACAAGATAAGTGCAATTAGAACAGGATGTTTTTTTTCAGCCCGTTCCCTGTTTTACATCATTAATTATGCAAGGTTAGCCTTCCCCGTGTCTTCCACTGGGCGATGTGAAGCCACAGCGCCTGGGGAGGCCTACCCCTGTTCTCCACCAGAGAGGGCACAGGAACAATGTCAAATATGCCATCACGGGAATAGAGAATTATGCAAAAGACATTTATCCTTGTCCTGCTTGCAGCACCATGTCTTCTGCAGTCGCACAAAGGGAGCAATTTCTACAAAATTTCCTGGTTCATCCTCTACGATGGTTGAGAGGAGTAGGATGGTTCCCTGCCCACTGCTGTGCGAGCTATTGCAGCACACTAATCAATATATTTTATTATTTTTGACACACCATTATTTCCATGACCTAACTTTCACCTCTTAACGCACAGCGCTGTCTGTGTTCGTGACCTTTTAGCCCACTAGGGATGACAAGACCCTTCTAAAAGTCAAAGAGGAGTCATGTGACCATCAGAGCCACAGGGAGCTGGAGTAAAAGAGCACAACCTTGCACCTCGAGTATATTTCCCTTCTCTCCAGACACTCGTGTGGGTGAGAGCTCATGTTTGGGAGTGGGCAGCAGTGAAAAGTCCCATTGTGATGTTTCATGAGCCCAAGAGTGCACCAAAGAAAGAAAAATCCTCTTTAGTGCAAGAGCCACCCTGAAAAACTGCTCCAGTGTGGGTGTCACTGGTGCAGCATACTTTATTTATTCAATTACAACTTTTATTGCCAAAGTTTCACAACTACTCGATGGATTTAAACACACACACACACACACACAAATCCCAAAAGGAAGAATCTACCTGTCTTTGCTTCTAGTATAACAAAGCATAACATAGTATTTCATATTCTCTCCCACATGTGAAATTGGTTATTGCATTAACATATTTGTCATTAATAACAATAAATTAATTATTTGCAGGCAGATTTGGTTGGGACCATCACAAAAACACCAGCCGGGGTTTGATGAAGAGGTCCAGCTGTGCTGAATCCAGCGATATGAAATCTACGACTGCATAAGGTTGAGAAAGGGTTTCAGATTAAAAAGTCTACGACGTGCCTGCGAAAAATAAACAGGTGAAAAATGGTATTATTCTACTTCAAAGTATACAAGTTGTTCATCCACTTAAAACCACTTTAAAATCTGGAATTTGGTCACTGTATAGAATTTTTGAAAGTTTTCTCTTTTCACATCTAGTTTTAGTTTAATTTTAGATCACAATAATAATCTTGGTTCCCTGATTACTCAGTGACAAAATACGAGTTGATTTCAGGGTTTAAGCTTGCATTTGGTAAATTGTCACTTAAATTCTCAATGTGAGCTTCAAACAAATGAGAGCACAAGTGAGGGACGCCATCGTTAGGCTTAAAGACCAAAATAAATCAAATAAACCCATCAGAGAGAGAGCGAGCAAAAAAAGAGCTCAAAGAGAAAGAGCTCAAAATCCTCACTTTAAATTAAATGTGTAAATTTTGTTATACATGTACAGTATCAAATGTAATCGAATCAGGTCAAATAAAAGTTAGTTGATTGGTGTACATTGTTTATACGAATCACATTTTTCTTTGTCATTAATTATCTGAATGAATAAATTTGATGTTTGGTGTACGTTTGTAAAAAGAATGGACGCACTGGACAATTCAGCAACATTGAAAGGCCTGAAAAACCACAGAGGACGACTGAAGTGGATGATGACAGAATTATTTCCATGGTTAAGAGAAATAACGTTACATCTAACCAAGTCTAGACTCTCGATGAAGTAGGCGTATCATTATCAGTGTATAATCACCAGACATCTTCATTAATGGAAGAATGACAGGGTGCAGACCACCGGTTATACTCAAGAACAGGAGATTAATTTATAGCAGGATGATGGGAATTGTTGTATGCAATACTGAAACTATCAGTTAATGTGTGTGTGGGTGTGTAACCGCTGAAGTACACTCACTCACACTGACTGAAAGTGAAATGAACTAAATTATATGAAACAGAAAGTAAAGTACATGCTTTACAGAGTAAAATGATGCACCTCCGAGACCCAAAAGGTTTATTTCCATCATTAACCAGGGTCTCTGATGTCTGAGCGATGTAATCAGAGGGACCAGTGAGAGACAGACTCAAAGGAAAAAAATGTAGAGGGAAAAGGAGCAGAGGCAAAGATACCCAGCGTTTCATCCCTGGCACAAAAAACCAACTCCCAACCGTGTTAAATTTTTTATCAAAACATCTGAATCCTCAGCTGCACGGTGAGCAGCGGTGACGTTGCTGTGACGTCACCGGAGATCTACTTGCCAAAGCTCCTCAAAGGGAAATGAAAACTCGTACTGAATATTAATTATTCCTCTGAACCACATGATAACTATTCTGAAGATAACCCAGGGGACAAAAAGTGTTACATATATATGTTTTTAGTGGCTGAATCAAACAAATCAGTAGAAACGTTGCTGTATTTTTAACCACAATCAATATCTGATGCACAAAAATGAAATTCTGAACCCTGTACTGCATTCACTCCCACTTCCTCTAGTTCTGTTTTTTTAATTCTTGCTTTTCATTGAACGTACTAAAGGCTTTTCCTCCTAAATAGTATCTTTATAATTCATTAAGAGCTCTAATTTATTTCCGCCTCTTCTGTACTTACTAGTGCCTTTTAAACCAAAGACAGAGCCACACCAACAAACACATATTACCACAAGGAGAGAAATAAAATGTTTATTTTAGTGTCTGTTTTTTCTTTTTTTCTCTGAACGCTAATAATAAAGTTCACCAGTGTCCTGTGGATGGCAAACATCCTCAAAACACAACAAGTACAACAAAAAGTGTTTCCATTGGGATCACCCAGTAACATTTTGGAATCAATGTAGTGATAAAAAAAAAAAAAAAAGAACAAAAAAAGCAATCAAAACTAACCATATCCACAAAAGAAAGAAACAACAAAGCAACAGTAACAAGTGTAACAGATCAGAGTGCTCCGCCGGAGGACCTGGAGGTTTGTGCACCCCCGCTTACAGTTTGCGGGTACAGAGCGAGTCTTTATTATGCTTTATGTTTTTAACAGTTTTATAAAATATCTAATTCAGAAAATAAACTGTGGGCCGAACATGGTAAAAACTGAGTCCAGTGGATATGGGTTACAGCTTTAAAACCTTTTCACGGTGCGGTCCGCTGCTCTTTTGAGCTCTTCTTTCTTTTAATATTTGATTTGCAGCACACAAAAAAAAAAAAGACAAACATGGAATGAATACCAAAGAAAGAAAGACAGATAACAGATCATAAGTTTTTAGAAAGATGTGTTAAAATAAGAGGGGGATCTAAATATATATATTTCTATGACAGCACATCTTCCTTACGTATTCTGTGCCCTCTAATACGTACCAGCAAGACATTTCATGTGTTTAGTTTTTGGTTCTGTATGAATGTGAGCGTCACCAACATCCCCCGCGCAGAAAGATAAAAACCTGTGCTCCAGCTTTCAGGTATCGTGTGCCATTTTTCCAGAACGAGCGTCTTCATTTCACAGTTTGAGAGCATTTCCTTGTTATTAGTGTTACGTTGCCGCTTCGGTTCCTTCACTGTGGAAGAAGGGACCTGAAGTAGCCCCTTACCGTCCAGACGTTGAGCATTCATGGTTTTTTTTGTTTTGTTTGTTTACTCAGGGCTGGAACATTTAACACTTTGACAAATGGTAAACAAAACATGAATAAAATATATTGTTTTTATTTATTTTTTCATTTCTACTCTTTTCCTTTCCTTTTTTTTTTTTTTTTAAAAGGCTAGTGTTATGATTTTTTCACAAGAGAAGGGCGGGGGACGTCGTGACAAAGCTAATTCAAAAAACTTTAAGATGTCAGTGCTGTCCGACTGGCTTGAAGCTAAAAAGTCGCTGTCTAACGTTTATCCTCATTAGTATTTTCATGTATGTACAAATAAAATATGGATTGAAAACACCCCACCAGCTGGAAGAAGAGGAAGCTCAGTTCATCTGTCGGGAGGGGGCCGTGCCTCTTCCCCCCCACCCCCCCACACATACAGCGACACTGGAAGAACTTAGCAGCCACTTTGGCCACCGACAAAGAGGCCCCGACGAGATATTTCTGATATCAGTGCAGATTTACATGATATAAAAATAATTAAGAAAGAAGGTAGGCTTAAGGACAAGTGGCTATAAATGGCAGAGTGTGAGATTCGATTTGGCAAATAAGCGTTCTACTTGTGCATGTGTGCGGCCCTCGAACAGAAGGTGGATGTCATCGGGTTGTCTCGTAAACATGCAGCTTGAAGACACTGAGACGCCACGTAAACACGTGCATGAGTGTGTGTGTGTGTGTGGTGTGGTGTGCGTGTGCACAGACGCCACGCCCCCTCACACACACTCTTCCGCCGACATGAGCAGAGGGTTGATGTACTCGAAGCCTTCAAACTCAGACTGGTCGATCTTCTTCACGACATCCCTGAAAAAGGGGGGAAAAAAAATGGAGGAGAAAAGATCAAAAAGTTGGTTAAAATCGACAGAAAACTGAGGCTGCAACAGGAAATGAGCACAAAATGAAGCGCTGACTCACTCGTCATCAGGCGTGAGCTGGATTGGCTCGTTGGTGAACTGGGCGTCAAAGTTGTCCAGTCCGTATTCCCCTGAGATGTTGGGCTTGAACGGAGGGACCACCTGTTTATGTTCCAGCTGGAAGTAAAGCAAAGGACAAAGGTAGGACCCCGTTTTTCAATAATTCTTTAAATAACCAATTAGTTGCTTAATAGAAAATTAATCTGCAAGTATTTTTGTGATTGATTAACCAAAAAAAAAAAAAAAAGAGCTTTTCAGAGTGGCCAGAAAAATCTAATTTCAAAGCATCTGTTTGGTCTCTGGGAAACTGTGACTATATTTTTCACACCTTTCATACACTAAGAGATGAATCTATTGAGAAATAATCTGTGAATAATGGAAACAATCCTTGTTTGCAGTCTTATTAAGAAGCTTCAAATAGTGACTGTATCAAGGTTGTAAATGAGTTTGTCCAACAGGATTTCTGAGAGGATAAGCTCTCCCGCAGCTGTAATCAGGCCTGAGTGACGTCCTCTCCACTCAAAAGCATTTGATAAGATAAGATAAGATAAGATAAGATAAGACAAGACTTTATTGATCCCACAACGGGGAAATTTTTGCGTCACCTCAGCTCAGGTACAGATATATGAAGGAAATACAAAAATACAAATAAGTACAATCAATGAAAAAAATTTGAACACAGAGTAAAAACTTTTATTAGGGACTTCCACTCATTTCCTCTGCCTGTGGTTTCATTTATCACAGTGTACGTGCAGCTCTCTGTCCCGAGTGTTACTGCACTTGTTTGGAGGGCAATAACTGCTCCCTCTGCAGGCCAGAGAGCACACTGCGGGGCAAACTTTAACATCAGCGTTGGGGGAAATGGGGTGGGAGGGTTGTAAGCTGATCCTCCAGACACTCTGACCGAGTGCTGGGTCTCAGCTCCAGACCAAACAGGGAAAAGAGGTCATGGTGATCCTGGCGAGCTGCCCTGTCTGTCTGTCTGTCTGTCTGTCTGTCTGTGCAGATAAAGCTGATGTTACGTGCTCTGTCTTCTTTAAAAGATTTAAAGCAGGTTTAATCTGGATTAGTTTAACACTTAAATGACCATACTATAATTTATACAGTAATGCTTTTAATGGCTTTTAAGAGTTGTCTTTATCTATGAAACACTCTAAAATGTTCTGATGTACTTAAATGTCGTTTTCTCTGGAGAGAGTTCACAAATTTAGTCAAATATTAATTTCCTGTATTTTCTTCTCAATAACAGACTGTTTTAATTATTAAGGTGTGTTTGAGTGAACTGTGTATTACAGTTTGCTGGGAGCTTAACACCAAATTCGAAACTAACTTTGATCAACAAATTACAATCAAGTCTTCACAGTCAGGGTGCTTTATTAATCCTTTGTTGCTTCCAGGCTTCTGTTTAGCATACACATCACTCCTGACCACCTCCTGGTATATCAATAAAGACGAGGGTTGGATGCCCATTAAACGGTTTCTGGGTTTTTCCATAGGCAGCTGCATAGGCAGAGACCCCTCTCCTTGACCTCTATAATAAAGTCAATAAATGTGAGGTCTAACACAGTATTGACAGAATATGATAGAAGCTGATCACTCTACAAAAGAGCTTCAAGGCTCACTCCTAACAGGCTTTCAAGGGGTAAAGATATCTTGTGTGTCTGTAATATATGCATGTTGTGCAGAGTAATATTTTGATGACACAGTTTTCCATTATCCATGCCACATCAATGGGCCAATTTCATATGAGAAATTTAAGATATTGGAGGTAGGTTAGTATTTTTACAATTTAAAAATGTCACGACGCATATAAACATGTGGCGGGGGTCCAAAATGACTCTAGATGAGGTCACTTGAGAGTTAATTAAGTTTATAAATGGGTAGAAAATGTAAACTTTTTTTAGTAAAGTACGACGAATACGTGACAGCAAATTCAGATATGACAGATTTTTTCTCATCGCTAAAAATACCACAACAGTATAATTTCATTCTAATTAAGTAAAAAAACCCAAAAACAAATAGTATTAAACACAATTAGCCCTAAACTGCAAAATTCACTTTCATCCTTTACCTTAAACAACTTAACATAAAATAAAATTATTTATTATTAATTAATTTAATTTTATTAATTAATTTTATTTTTCCTTAAACAACAGAGACAGGTAAGTAAAACAGATAAATTAAATAAAGAAGGTTCAATAAAAGTGTTCAGAAACAAAGTTTATCACACTAAGTCGTGTTTGCCTCATCTTTGTCATTACTTTATGTGATTTCATTTTTTTATCAGTTGGCATATCAAACTCCGCCCCCCCCTCCCCCTCCAATTGTTGTCATTTTCATTAACTGATGGCACGACCATAGCTGGACTGGCCATCGGCCCACCAGGCATTGTTGGTGATTTTTCGTTTTTATGGGCCGATTTTTTTTATTTTATTTTTTTTGTAACGGTATAAACAATGAGAGGTGGTGGATTGGCCAGATGCTGGTCAATGTGTAAAAATAGCTCAGTTGTTTGGTGGTGGCAATTGCGGCGCTTCCACAGAGGCCAGCAGGTGGATGAGAGAAAGGGGAGGCAGGAAGAGGAGAGACCAGAGGCGGCCGCCGGTCCGAGTGTCAGGTGAACTGAACTTCAGGTAAGAAGTTATGACCTGCAATCTATCTGGGTCAGATATATAACAAATTTAGGTTGAGTTTATTTTCGTTGTGCTGACTTTTAGTCAGTTACAATAACTCGTACTGCGAACTAACAAGCATGACGGAGTTTCTATACAGCTGGGTGGGTGCTATGATGTTACTGATAGTGAACTTTATTTTATTCATAAGGTTAATTAGTAGAGTTGTCAACCATCCCATTAAAAAACGGAATCGTCTGGTATTCAGAGAAAATATTACGCGTTTCTTATTGAGGTGAAAAGGAACATTTTGTCCCGGACTTCAGCTACAATGAAAAAGACACAAAGCTGGAATTATTCTGTTTACGCTGCACAGCTGCCTCTTCTTCTCTCATATTTTCTCCTGTTTCTACTTCAATCATGAAACTGATCAATGATCAGCTGATCGTCTCTCTTGTTTGTTTATCGCCCACTTTGCGCCAGAAAGAGGAAACCGCGCTAAACAACAGCAGCACGTTTAAGCTTGATCGGCTGTTGTTAGAATTTATTTAATATTAATTTCTAG